TACCCCTTCTGGACTTCTCAACGTTACTCTTTTCAGCCTACAGTCAACATTAGCATAATAACGATATAACCAGTCCATTCCCAATATCACCTCGAATTCATCAAAAGGTAGTTCCATCAGATTAGCAGGGAATTCAATTCCCTGAATCCGTATGGGACACCCTCGACATACCATATTGACTCGAGCACTGTGTCCTAACGGATTAGTCACTATTACCTCACTGCTAGTAACTTCTAAAGAAATATTCAATTCTTGCACCAACTTACTGCAAATGTAAGAATAAGTAGACCCCGAATCAATCAATACAAACACATTCTTGTCATACAATTGGAAGGTACCTGCTATGATATCTGGGTCATCTCTATCCTCGCTAGTCTTGAGATTATATACCCGAGCGGTGAAGCGTATCTCTTGTGGAGCTGATGAATCGGATTGACTTCTTCCTCTGCTTCTACCTCTTCCTCTCTGGGGAGCCAAGGCAAACCTCTCTGGCTGAGCGGAATCACCGGCTAACATGGGACAATCCCGAACAAAATGTCCAGTGTCTTCGCACTTAAAGCAGGCTCCAGAGATCAATCTACAAGTTCCCGAGTGATTCCTTCCACAATGTGGACATGGCTTAGCTTGATTCTGATTAGATCTCCCAGCACTTGATCCTATTGACTGAATTTTTCGACCCCTCATTTGATTAGATCCTCTAGCGGAGGATGTCACCGACTCTGTTCTAGCTTGGGGTCTAACACCAGCATCTCTACCTCTCTTGGATGGTGCAGAACTCGAGGATGCACCCGATCTCTTTGACGTCTGAGCTCGTGAATCTCCAAATCTCTCGTTTTGAGCTCTTTCCAGAGCTTTAGCACGGTTCACCACTTCTTGAAATGATGATAGATTCAACACAATTAACATTTCTTTTATTCTTGGACGCAAACCTTCTACAAACCAATCGCAAGCATCTTTTTCCGTAGGAATAAGCTCAGCAGCAAAACGGCTCAGTCTATTGAATTCGCACTCGTACTCATACACTGTACGACTCCATTGTTTCAAACTCATAAACTCTTGTTTCATTTGCCGCATGAACTGATCTCCGATGTACTTATGCTTAAATTCTTCTAAAAAGAAAGACCAAGTTACTTGATCACCAGACATCCTCAAGGTAACATTGGCCCACCAAATTCTCGCTTGCCCTCGGAGTAAGGAGACTACTCCATCCAATTTCTCAGCTTCAGAACAGTGAAGTCCTTCAAGCATAATCTTTACGTCATTAAGCCAAAGGTCCGCAGTAACAGGACCTTCTTCGGCTTCACCTCTAAACTCTGGGGCTCCTAAACTCTTCAACTCCTTTGCAACATTCATTCTAGGAGTGGAAGTAACAGAAGGTTGAAAACGAGCTAATACCGCATCCAGTGTTCTAAAGAACACATTTTGTTCACCTCTAGGCACTCCAGAGGGTGCCTGCTCTTCACTCTGCCTGGCCAGGGCAGGTGAATTGCTGCTCTCAGCGGGCCTATCATCTCCCGCTTCACTCTTAGAGCTATCATGTCCGAACATCTATAATAATATAATCATATCATTCTATTAGCAAAAGAACATACTTACCGTTATATCAGATCAGAAGTTCTCACTATTTTATTGGCATGTACACATTATAAGACACTCTAGACACCGGTTCATGCCGAGAATCGACTAAACCGTAGCTCTGATACCATTAAATGTAACACCCCCAACCCGTATCTGACCTGAATACGAGTCTGAGGTGTCACCTTGACTTTTCAAACTTTGAAACTTATTGAAAAACAAGGAAATTTAAAAACTTTCATTCAAAATAAAGACTGTTAATTTACAAAAATTGACCATACTACACAAAATCGATCAGAGCATTTATAACTCACAAATTGTTTACATGACAACACACTAATTACAACAAAATACCTACATTGCAAGTTACTCCTGATCTGATCCTTCCTGTAAAGTATACTATCCACTAAGCTCTTAATTATGATCTTCCTGCTTCTTGGCACCTACGTGTAAATCACTTACACGCTAAGTCACAGACTTAGTGAGGCAATAAATGAACATGTAACAATAAATTCATGCATATGCACCATTACCTTTTTATCATGATATTTCAATGTACATATATATTATATGATAACATATGTAAACATGATATACACATCTGAACTTTACTTCTTATACACTTTTCCATTCCATTTATCTTTAAATTGCCCATGTACATTATTGAGAACAGATGTACTTGAGTAAATTGAGGTTGTGCACTATTGCTGTCACCACAGCTCAATAAATTCCCTTATGGGGCACCGATTATTCGTTCAGTATTTGTCCCGAAGGACCACTATGTCCCGAAGGACCACTGATTGTTCCGAAGAACCACTATGTCCCGAAGGACCACTGTATATCCCTCGACTCTTGGCATGCCAATTTTACCCACATTTCTCATATTAAAGGACATGGGCTTAATTAAAATTCTCATTATCATATCACTGCTATCACTTCTCATATAGCACATAATTTATTTCATATACACATGATTTTTTTTCAATATTCACATACCTGTATCATATTACCCTTGCAATGGCATTTGTTCACATAATATCATATTAAAGCATAATAAATTGTGCACAAAATCACTATAACAATAATGCATGTATGTATATATATGAATATGAAATTATGAATTCAACTATCAGAGATAGACTTATCACAAGTCTTATCTCCATACACTTAAACCATAAGATGCACTCACCTTAGCCTTGCTCGTTTTGACTCGATATTAATCCTTTGATTGTTCCGGAACAGACTTACGTTCTATATCTACATAGTAATACATTAATACATATCAGTATACTAATTAATATATGCTAAACTATCACTTCTTATTCTAAAAGAAATGATAACTTTATCTTTAATGAGGGTATGCATCGATGCACTCTACAATGTATCAATGTATTCCTTAACGGGTGCAACGATGCACTACTTATGCATCGGTGCACGAATCACATTCGATGTTTTTATTCAATGGGGTGTATCGATGCACTAATGGCATTCGATGTTTTAATTTTATCAGAGTGCATCGATGCATATTGAATGTGCATCGATGCACATAGCCCAGAATTATTATTTTAATCACAAAATTCATCCCTTTTTCTCCCCAATTCTTCTTATTTCACTTCCTTAAATGTTTCTAACTTGCATACATATACTTACACTCATTACTACTCAATAATCACTTCTTTAAACTTAAAATCCAAACTTCCACATAGAATTCAAGAATTTCACCTCAATTCCAACATGTTCAAAATCTAATTTCAACACTTCATATCCTTTAATTAGATAGATGACAAGTCAAATTCAACTTCTTATTCCAATTATGAACTCTATTTCGAAACTTCATTCACAAACTCCAAATCTTTAAATCCTCATACACTCTTCATTTTGTTGTTTTGAAGCAAATTAAGCTTTCCTTAATCTTACTTATCACCTAATAGTCAAAACCCAACTTAAATTTCAGCACGTAATCAGCTTAAAAGAAATCTCACCATTGCTTAGCTTCACACGTGAAGAACAAGAAGAGAAAGGAAGAGAACTCTGGAAGCTTATGTTTTTCTTCCTTCTTCCACGTGTAACTAATATAAATATAAGAAATCTTAATTATTTTCCCTTACAAATGACCATTCTATCATTCAATTTCATTTTTCCTTGCAATTCAACCCTATACCAAATTCAACACTATTCAATTATTCTATTTTAATCACCACATTCTGAAGTTTTATAATTTAGTCACTAACCCGATATTGAGGCTGTTCCATAACATCTCTATACAACGAAAGAAATTTAAGTTTGGACAATGGTTAAATCCATCTAAGACAACCAACGACTTCACATAATCATTTTTCTATGCATGGCAGCACCCTAATGCATTTAGTTAGCTTCTGATTTTTCTTGATTCATATCGAGTATGATCATAATGATTCATATTCCAGTTAAATATTGAAACTACTTGACTTCAATAATCATATGTGTGTGGAAGATTTTTTTTTTACAATTTCTGATTTTGGATGTGTACATGTGAATATCTGCAAAGTTTCTAACAAAACAAATGTTGCAAGGAGCTCTTGCTTTTAATAGCATAATGGCCCAGTTTAGCAAATACTTATAATTTTTTCAATTTATAATGGATATTATTAGTGCTAATTATTCTGTGATTTATATACAAGACTAATTGTGTAGTTAATTTTATTTGGGGAATATATTCAATTTTCAATTTGCAAAAACTAATCATTATGGAAATTAGGAAAAAAAATTCCATAACTACTATTTAATCCCAGATATCAAACTTATAATTTTCTTATTTCCCCCATTTTTATCTAGCCTATTACTTTACTATGAAATGCATTTATACATTATGTCCGAGAGATATAAAAGATTCATAATATTGTTTGATAGAGGAAGATAAAACAAAAAATAAAGATGTTAAATACTGAATATAAATGAAATTAATTATTAATCAACAAATGAAAGCAACCAACAACTTACTTGAATTTGTGAGGTTTCCTTAACAAAAACGTAGATATAAATTACTGTTAATGAGAAAAGTTTTAGGGATTTTGACTATCGTGTGAATGTTGGTGTTGTTGGCCATTGTCCGTTAGGTCAAGGTGTTCTGCAAAGGGATTTACAAAATTAAACGACATAGTTTTGAAGCATTTAAACTAAATAGTAAAACAACGTCGTTTTAAATTTCGTTGATTTTTTGAGTTGGAATAATATGAACTCAATTTGAACTTGAAAATTGAATTAAAAATTTAAATTAACTCGAATAATTTGAATTTAAAAAAAATTAATTTTTTTGAGTTAAGTCGAATTTTAATCCTAACAAGAAGGAGAGTGACGTAAAATCGCAACACTTGCGCGTAGGAAAGATTACGAAAGAACCAAAATAGAATAAAACCGTCCAAGACTAACTTCGATTTTATGTTGGCCGTTGACAAACAAACAGAGATTTAAGCTTTGGGTTAGCTTTACTTTAGATGATCGTCTCTGAGCGATGGAGGATCCTCGAAAACATCAGGTTAGGGACCTTTCTCTTGATCCACTAATTCAAATTAGGGCTTCTAATTTACAACACTAAAATTTTCTATTTTCCTCTTAACCAAATGTTTAATTTTCGATTGGGTTGCTCAAATTCAGGTATCGTTGAGAGGAGCAAGCGCAAGAGAAATATCAAGAGATGCGCTACTCGAGAAAGTTTTTCAAGAGAGAGAGCATCGCAATTATGCTAGAAAAGCTGCATCCGCTTCAATCTACATCCAGGTTTACTTTTCATAGTGTTTGATTGTTTTATTCTTCATTTGAATTTTTATTAAAAAATTTCTCAGTTTTTTTTTTCATTTACAAATATATGTAGAAAGTTTGGCGAAGTTATAACGAGACTAGGAAAGTGGCTATCAAATTCCAAGATGAATGGGAATGTTTGGTGAAAAATCCAGCAGAGTTTATGACGGGGGAATTGATTTCCAGCAGGGTTTTAAGGCCATTTATTTTCTTCATTAAATGTTTATCTATTCGTCGGCAAAAGATTCTTCCCAGAGAATTAAAATGCACGCAAACTTGCTTTGGCATACTCTTGGAAAGCATAAATTCAACCGGTATGCTAAGCAGTGTTAAATTGAGTTTGTAATCCATTGCTCCTATGAGATGTGCTGCTGTGTATTATATTTAGGACCATCTTTTTTTCCTACTCCCATTTTAGCTTTTCTTGGTTAATAAACAGTTGGTATTGATTTCCTTGTTTGGTGGATAGATTCAAAGAAGAATATTTGCTCCCTGATCGTGGCCACGACTGAACTGAGAAGAACATCCATGTACCAAATGCAAATGCTGATTTCACTCTGCTCGTTCATTCTTTCAGAGTGTGATACGTCTAGTGCAGGGAGTCAAGATATTGTCGTTTTGACATCTCTCGCATTACGTCTTCTTGTTGTCTTAACTGATCTGAAAAATTGGAAGATTGCTAATGATGAGAACATTAAGGAGGCAGATGCTGCAGTGAAGAACTTGGTTACCTTTATGGGAAGTTGTAGAAGTGGCCTTTATGCATCTCTGAGAAGATATATAAGTAGATTGGATGTTTGTTTTTCTCCTAAATTGAAAAGTATTGTTCAGACTGATGATAAGTTCTTGATCAGCGCAAGTGCAATTACTATAGCTATTCGCCCATTTAGCCTGACAACCTTTAATATGGCTGACTGTAGTAAGTTTGAAGTGCATTCTGCAGCTGATCAGTTCTGTTTATATTTACTTACAATTCCTTGGCTCACTCAACGTCTACCAGCTGTTCTTCTACCTGCTCTAAAGCACAAATCTACTCTTTCACCATGCTTTCAACTTTTACTGGTAACACTATTAAATCCCAATTTCCTTGTGTTCTTTTTTCATACATTTTCAAGAATTTTGATTTCAAATTGTGCATATGACCTTTAGTTATGCTTATTTAAATTCAGAATATCGTAGCATCTGATGGTATTTTTTTTTCTTTTTGTTTCTCAATCATCATTAGTTGTCTTTTTGAGTTATTCTATCGATTCTTTTTGATGGTTCAGTTCATATATGGCCTTGTTTTATTGTCAGTCAATATTATAGTTCATTAAAAGGACACGTTCTGGCTTCCTAGATAGCCAGCTGAAATCAATGAAGCCATAGCTGGCATAGTTTTAGTAGTTAAAATTGAGACTAATGCAAGTACCCTGGGGTTGGGCTGCAGTTATTTTCACTTGCATCTTTGGGAATTTCTATGCAAACGTGCTAAGTGCCATAAACTTTTTTTAATTTTCTATTCAAATGAAAGTATAGATTTGTGTTTATCATATCTAGGACATCATATTTTTATAGTATACGGATTTTGTATAGATCCTATTACCTGAATAATAGATTACCTTTTCATTTATACTCATACTATTTATCTTTAAATTCATGTGCCCTAAATTTCTATTTTGTTTCTTATTAAACTACTATATGATTTGAGGCATGAGGAACTGATCAAACTATGGCAGGTGATAACAGATTTCAAAAGATAAAATTGTAAGAAAGATGTCAGACATTGATCAGTCCTGCATGGACTGTTCTTTGAATGTAGTTCCACCAGTTGGCTGGGCTCTTGCGAACATTATAGCCCTAACTGCTGGGAGTGAGAATGACTTTCTGCATTCCGGAGCCTTGAACCAAGGTCTAGAATATGCATCCTATGTCCATGTTGTAACCATTCTTGCAGACAACTTATTGGCATGGCTTCATAATGCTGGGTGGGAAAAGGTGAATCAGAATCTTGAAGGCAATTATGGAGCTTATGAACCACCTGTCAGCATGCAGGAGAACAACACTGCAAGTGCTTCCTTAAAGACATCCTTCATTGACCTATTTAGACCTGTTTCTCAGCAATGGCATCTTAAAATGCTTTTGGAAATATCAAAAGCATATGCTCATACAGATGAGACCAAGATCCTATCTCCAAACAACTTAGAATCTATGGAGAACTTGAGATTGCTTGATATTGCATATTTCTACTCATACATGCTTAGGATATTTGCGGCATTCAATCCCATGATTGGACCATTTCCTGTTCTCAATATGCTATCTTTCACTCCTGGATTTCTTGGCAACCTTTGGGGAGTGTTAGAAAGTTCCATTTTCCAAGGGAATAGGCACACCTTTGAAGATGCTAATCATTCCAGAAGCAAAGGTTCGGGGAAGAAAAAAAAAGGAATTGATAAAAAACTAAAACAGGCCAGTAGTGATGGAGTTGGTAAATGGGCCAATGTATTGCAGAAGTTAACTGGAAAATCACAAGTAGAGGTTGATTTTTCAGATCCAGCTGGATGATGATCAAGTTGACGAGGATGCTTTTGATATTTGGGATGTAGAGCCTTTCAGGCATGGTCCTCAAGGCATTTCAAAAGATATGTCTTGTCTTCTTCATCTGTTCTGTGCCACCTATTCTCATCTGCTATTAGTTCTTGATGACATAGAGTTTTACGAGAAACAGGCAAGCTGGTTATCTGGTTATCTCTTTGTTTTCTATTTTTATCTCTGTTGTTAATTAGAGTATTATTTTGTGCATGATTTAGGATCCATTCACACTGGAGCAACAACGGAGAATTGCTTCAGTGCTCAATACACTAGTCTATAATGGTCTGTCGTATAGTGTAGGCCAACAGAATGCTTCTCTTATGGATTCTGCCATCAGATGCTTGCATCTAATCTATGAAAGAGATTGCAGACACCAGTTCTGCCCCCCTGCTTTGTGGCTTTCACCAGCTAGAAGGAGCCGGCCTCCAATTGCAGTAGCTGCCAGAACTCATGAAGTTCTATCAGCTAATATCAGATCAGAGGATGCTGTAATTGGTCACAACATGGGTTCTGTAATCACCAGTATGCCACATGTATTTCCATTTCAAGAAAGGTATTAAGTCGTAAGAATTTTGATCGCCATACCATGTAATTTAGGTGTGCGCATTAAACTCACCTTTTTCACCAGGATTTCATCTAATGCAAAGTCAATGGTCCATATTTTGAATGTGCTCTTTCCTGAAATATGTGCTCTTACTATTGTTGTGTTCATATGAGAAGTAACATCTGGAATACATCAGATGATCATTCAATCCTCCTATTACGTAGATATAGAATGGCCTAATTTTTTTTACCAAGAGAAGGTCTTTCGTTGACATAGTTTGCATCTTTGGCAGGGTTCAAATGTTTAGGGAGTTTATCAGCATGGATAAAGTCTCTCGGAAAATGGCTGGTGAAATATCTGGTCCTGGTTCTCGATCAATTGAGATAGTAATTCGTCGAGGTCATATCGTTGAGGATGGCTTTCGACAATTAAATTCACTTGGTTCACGATTGAAGTCATCAATCCATGTTTCTTTTGTTAGTGAATGTGGCCTCCCAGAGGCTGGTCTGGATTATGGTGGATTATCTAAAGAATTCTTAACTGATATATCTAAAGCAGCTTTTGCTCCTGAGTAAGTCATACTGGTTTTTGTGCTGAAAAAGTTGCTTTATTCTTTTACTAAATTTTTAAAGTTAATTCTTTCTGTCTAAAGGTATGGATTATTTTCCCAAACATCAACTTCGGACAGACTTCTAATACCTAATGCAGCTGCAAGATTTCTAGAGAATGGTATCCAGATGATCGAGTTCCTTGGAAGGGTTGTTGGTAAAGCACTCTATGAAGGAATATTACTAGACTACTCTTTTTCACATGTTTTTGTGCAAAAGCTGTTAGGCCGATATAGCTTTCTTGATGAACTGTCAACTCTTGATCCCGAGCTTTACCGAAATGTTATGTATGTCAAGGTTAGCCCTCATGAAGATCATGCATGTTATCAATTTTATATTTATTTCATTTTGAAGAAGAATCTCCTAATATGGATAAATTCTCTTGAATATACAAATAGCTTTATAGGCGGTGTAGTTTGTGTATGCCACTTGATGTTTATGTTGAATTCAAAGGGTTAATAGAAATGCATTTTCTGGTTGATAAGACTGCTTTGCATATTGATCTCATTGTTGGGCAAGAGTTAGCAAGATGCTGCTATGGGAAGGTATTTAGGTGGGTGTATTTTGTTTAACCTGCAAGTGACTTCTTAAGTGATAGTATGAAGTATATAATGTCTGCATTTGTTAAGCTATTTGAGTAAATCAACAAGGACATAAATGAAGGTGTCAATTTCCTATAGCTTGCTGGATAGCTGATGATATTTCCTTATTATGTTTTTTGGAGGACAAAATCTATTATTTTCTTTTTGTGCTCATTGTAAGATGGGTTGTCCATAAGCTACAGGAAGAACGAAAATGAGAGGACTATTTTAAGCCTCACCTATCATTTGATCAACAGTGAACGTAAAGAATAATAAAGAGGCTAAACAAGGAAGAATAGAGATATTTAGATGGAAAGCCGAGAATGCATTAAATAATTTCAACAAGGAAAAACTAAAAGAGAATGAGATGTTCATATGCTCTTTGTGCAGTATTTCTCCATCAATATGGTTAAAGACCCAGGCTCAGCTTGTTTGACATTTTCAAATAGAAAGTTTGGACAATCTTTCTGCTCATAATGTTTACTTAATATTTGTCAAGGCAGAATGACTGCAAAACCAAGTATAATATTCTACCTTGTGGATCCTACCTTCCATTTTAACAACATCACTCTTCTAGGATTCTGCAAGTATTACCTTCTTGCATCATGATCTAAATTCTTTTAGATTAAGGATCTAGTGTTTTCTTTTTTTGTCTGCTTTAACGTAACACATTCATTACCTTATTTTTCCCTTTACACGAAGGTCATAATGTTTGAGGATCTATACATGTAAAGTCCTACAATTTTGTAATCTTGTTAAATGTTTTAACTGCAGCACTATAATGGTGATGTTGAGGAGCTCTGTCTAGATTTCACAGTTACTGAAGAATCTTTTGGTAAACGGCATGTTATCGAGCTTAAACCTGGTGGCAAGAATGTTTGTGTGACCAATGTGAACAAGATGCAGTATGTTCATGCAATGGCAGATTACAAACTCAACCGACAGGTCAATTTTTAGTTATTTCATAAATATTATAGAAATATATCTGAACATCATAAAATCATTATATTAACTTCTTTTTAATGTTGGATCGCAGATACTTCCCTTTTCAAATGCATTTTATAGGGGGTTAACTGATCTTATATCTCCCTCTTGGTTGAAGTTATTTAATGCAAGTGAATTTAATCAGGTATTTTTACTCCCAATGTGCTTTTCGAGGAGTCATACTTGTGCATAGTTTTACTTAATGATAGGTTGAGTGGTTTTCTATTCAATTTGCCTCACCTATCACTTAATGATAGGGGTTGACTAATAGCACACAACATTGACCCACATTGCTGTATGCAGTTGCTTTCTGGTGGAGACCATGATATTGATGTTGATGACCTCAGAAATAACACACGGTATACTGGTGGTTATTCCGAGGGAAGTCGAACAGTTAAACTTTTCTGGGAGGTATTAGCATAATGAAGTATAACTGATTTTTCTCACTTTTGGCTTAGTCCCTCGATTGTTTTAATCATGTAAACAGCTGCATAAATACAGTTATGTTTTAAAATTTCATTTAGGTTATGAATGATTTTGAGCCAAAAGAGCGATGCATGCTGCTAAAATTTGTGACCAGTTGTTCCCGAGCTCCTTTACTGGGGTTCAGATACTTGCAGCCTTCTTTCACAATTCATAAGAAATTCCCCTAGTTTAAAGGAAAATATATTGTAAAGAAGAAGGATAAATGAGTATTATAAATGCAGAAAGGGGTACATGACCATCTTAATACCTTGTCAACAACTAAACCAAGTCAGGATCTTGATCTTGTATAGGTTGCAAGTGATGCTCCTCTTTGGGCTGCAATTGGAGGTTCAGATGTGGAGCGACTTCCATCAGCTTCTACATGCTATAACACTCTCAAGGTAGAAAAATTTGGATTGAATGCCCTCAAGTCTAGTACTTACTATGTTAATAGGCTTCATAACAATATCAAACTTTAAGACGAGTGATTTAACATCTCATATCTGCGTAATGGAGTTGAGGTTCTAAATTCTGAACTAATCATGTCCGTCTTTTCTTGTTGTATTGCATGTTTACAGCTTCCAACATATAAGAGGTTAAGCACTCTGAAAGCAAAGCTTCGTTATGCAATCAATTCTAATGCTGGATTCGAACTTTCATAGGGCCCTGAGATATTTAATTGTGCAGGTGAACTTCTAGTGCCATATGAGTTCGACTTCCTTGTTGTCTAAATTCATTTCTATCTGCTACAAGGATTTTAATTTATTATTTTTTTTATAGAAATGCCCTTACTAAAGGTCAAGTCTTTCAACTTTCTATTGTTATCTAGTTTATTAAGCAAGCTTCGTTATGCACAATTCTATGCTGGATTCGAACTTTCATAGGGCCTGATATTTAATTGTGCAGGTGAACTTCTAGTGCCATATGAGTTCGACTTCCTTGTTGTCTAAATTCATTTCTATCTGCTACAAGGATTTTAATTTATTATTTTTTTTATAGAAATGCCCTTACTAAAGGTCAAGTCTTTCAACTTTCTATTGTTATCTAGTTTATTTATGGTTAACATTGAAGACTGTCTGGATGTACAAAATTGTTATAGGAACGGAAGAATTGATTAAATAGAAAATGAAGCTTGGTTGTGGAAGAACATAGATAACTTGAGCAGAATTAAATGATTTCAACCATCTTAAATTTTGATTATGTAGGAATATGCGCTAGATGTGAATCCCAAAGTTGCATGATAGGGCAGAGTGTGAGATAGTTGTGAATCCCAAATTCATATTCTAGTCGGGCCAAAATAGTTCATATATCTTTCACAATGTTTACACTACTATGTCTATATCATTTAGCAATATGCATTTTCTGGCATACTCTAAGAAAGCTAACTAAATTGTTGACAAAGCAACCATATCATTTTATTGAGGCAAGGATTGATGCATCAATTTTCCTGGCAGAAATGCAGCAATCTACCCCTGCTAAAAGCATAATAAGGATGATTTACATGTGAAAATACTAAAATTTCTCCTGCTAAAACAGTCATACCGATGAAGCAAATATTTTAGACTCATTCTAATGTCTAATATCCTACATATGAGAAGATTACAGGAACTGGTGATAGTGTTTTCTTCTTCCTTTTATTCCCTTTCTACGACCATGAGGGAAATAGCTTCAAGAGATGAGTCCCACTCCCTGTGCTAGCAAATTGCCTGCTAAGACTTCATTACTGCTTGAGAGGGATGGAATCCATCCCAAAATACATATGATGTAGCATTGGAGCATGTCCCATGGGCCTTGGCATTGCAAAGCAAGGAGGTATCTAGAGTACCTGTTCCACAGCAAGCTCTTCTCGACTCAAAGAAACCTGCAACAATAATAATACCAAATTCGCAGGGGAAAATTATATTAATTAATAACGAGTCACTTCATTCAACTGCCAAATCATGCATGATGGAACCTTGAATAAAACATTGGGAGGAACCACATCATTTTGAAATTGATATACATGATCAGAGAATAACCCCAAAGGTTTACTAGGTTCATGTTACTAGTGTGAGTTCAACTTTATCTTATAGTACTAGGTTTTCCTTAGTTAAAGAATGAAATTTGGTAATTAAAAATTGCTTTCAAAATATATAGTTTCATGTTACTAGTGTGAGTTCAACTTTATCTTATAGTACTAGGTTTTCCTTAGTTAAAGAATGAAATTTGGTAATTAAAAATTGCTTTCAAAATATATGATCTTGTTGATTCTATTCTCTTAAAGTTAGCAGAGTAATTATTAAAGAAAATTAAATTATTCCTACTCATACGGAATGTTTATTCACTACTCTTTTGCACAATAGGTGGTTTTCCGTTGTCACTGGGCTTTGTAACCATGTCCAAGAGAGGCTGGTATATATCGAAGACTACAAGTTTGAGTTCCGGAAACTTGTTCTGTAGGCTTAGAGATGTGCTGTTCAGTTTATTGTTGAAGGCTATGGCATCTTGGTTTAACCTGGCAACACACCCATTTCTTCCTCCACCAAATAGGGTGATCGCTGCGGGTAAATAACCTGATGGTGGCAAGGTTGTCCCTCCAATCTTCCTTGCTCCCAGCCCATACAGATTCTGTTTCAAACATGAAATAGTTGTGTGCTTTAAAGAAACCGGCATGTGAGAAGCTCGCTATTCATTTTTCATTAAACATTTGCTATGCTTCCATTAAAAATGCATTTCTTCTTACTATTAACGTTGTAATATTTCTAGTTACATAGTGTCTACTGTCCAGAATTGGGTTAGGGATACAATCATGATTCAAAACAGGCATTAATTTCTCATGTAAATGGTCCAGATATTGCTGAAGATAACATAATAGCCCCCATAAGTGAAAGCTAAATGGTACCTGAATGAAACTAGAGTAGGATCTCATGAGAATGTCAGAGAACTGATCCGGTGTATATATTCGATTGAGTAGAGGATTAATGTAGTAGTTCTGAATATAATCACTACTTCCTGCACTCAAAAGATGTATGGCACCAGAGAATATGTCGTTCGCTTTAGGTTTTCCTACCATGTTCTCCACTTTCGTTTGACACTCCTTGTAGCAGGTTAACTGTTGGGTCAATGTTATGGAACGCTACAAGAATCAACAAAACAGTTCATCTTATTAGATGATCAGGCTTCAGAGTCAGAAGGATAGAGAAAAAGAGAGTGGGGTTTGAGGGGTTGGGATCTTAATTGTTTGCATATAGGTTTGCAGTTCTGTCATATAAACCAGAAGCAGCCGAAGTGAAGTTGGCTCCAGTCAAGAGAGCATTTCCTTTGGCATCTTGACTAAGGTAAGCCGGTGGGTAAGAAGTGAACCCAAGGTACTCAGTTGTGCACGCAGGAATGGAAAAGGTCCATTAGAGAAAAGTGGAAGAACCTAAATAAATGGAGAGAAAAAAAAACATGGGTTCTCAAGAAAACATTACCAGTGAAGTCGTGGCAAGTTTCCCATTGCAGAATCTTCCGGTTGGGCTGTGAGTAACAAAATCTCTTCCATATGGTGGGAAGTTCGCCTTGATAGGCGTATTGAGATTGTTGTTATTCCCAACATCAACAACCGAGGCCCCAAAGATGATGAGTGCAGGAACAAGAGGGTCTCCATTAGCCACTGATGAAACTAGAGCAAGAACCAAAGTAGCCAAAAACTCACTTGAAACTCCCATTTTTTTTCTCCTTTGCCCTTTGTCTCAACCGTTAACCTCAGTGTTTGTATACCAGAGAGAGAGAGGTGTAAAAGAGAAGAGAATGGGGGCAGGTGAAGGTGAATTCAAGGAGAAAGAGCCATGGGTGAGAGTTATTGTCAAACTGATACAAATGTCTTTAAGAGAATGGTTCCATTAAAGGTGCTTATTTCTACGAGAAGAGGCATGTTTAGCATTCCGTAAGGACCCATAATTTCTGCCATTAGCCTTAACAAAGTGCAATCATTTTGTCCATGTCGTAACGTTTTTCTTCAGGTAACAATAGAATTAGTTAAAGTTTTAAGTACTTTTTGGAGAGGAGTTTGGTTGCCGTTTCATCCACATTTTGCATAACGTTCGGGGTTTGGCGTGTCTTCAACACATTTTCCAATTTCGTTCTACAAGCATGATCGCATCAGCCATCCCTAGCAAATTTTGAAGTTGTTTCTTCTCTTTTAATATCCATTTGTTACCAATTATGTTGCTTCATCTCTTTATTTTTTTCTGATCCCGTACTTGTCTATGTCGTGTGTCCAGACTCCAAAGACCCTCAAAGCTTAAAAAAAGGTAAATGCGACACTTTTACTCAAATATGTTAAGGTTGACTTAATTGCTTAAAATATGTTATGTTGGTTTACATCTTAAGAAGATAATCTTCCTCCTTTTACCCATTTTTTAATGTCAAAATTTGGTCTGAAAATCTTAATTTTTCTTATAATTTAAATCATGTTATCATAAATATTGGAAATTAGCCTAAATCGAAACCGTCCACTTGATATATGATGTTTTAAGAAGCGGGTTTTGAGGTGAGGGTTATTGTTGTCCCAGATGTTAAGGTCATTTCACTAGGATTCTTTGTACTTGAAAACAAAGGGATTCCGAATTTGAGCCTTTGCCCACCTTGTTTCGTTCATCATATTCCCTATTGCTGTAGATTTCTTTTAAAGGAAATTGAGTTGTGAGTTCAAGGAGGGAGATGAGTTGGATCTCATAAGCACCGGAAAGAGATTAAAGTGGTGTTGGAGTTCGAATTTTGGTGTGTCGAAATCCAAATTTGATTTTACAGGGATCCTTGAAACTTCTTAGGTGTCTTATGAATTATTTTTATGCGTTATGTCATTTGAGCAAGCATATTTAGCTGGTTGGTCAAGCTGCTCATTTTTATTCTCACATATTTCCTTAAATCATGGGTTCTAGACCCATTAGAAGCACTCATCTTCTTTTCCCTTTACTCCCTATAGGATTAGGAGATTTTGAAATTGATAAATTTGTTAGAACACTAATAATCATTTGTATTTGATTGTTGGATGTGTGCAATGATGTCCAGTGGCATGTGAAACCATAATGTTTTACGAAGAGGTTGAACGTGGAACAAAAAAATTGCACGTCCCGATGTCAATTTTCCACTAGTTGTGCTGAAAAATTACTTATTCAAATTATTTTATAATTTTGTTAAATACGGTAAAATTAAAATCAAATAGATAGATTGAATAAAGACCAACATGAGATAAAAGAAATTTAAATTATATTATTTTTACTGAATTATGATTTTTTTCCACATACCATATGCAATTTGTGCATTTGATCACTGATGTAGTGATAGAAGAATCAAGTTCATGACTTAATTAACATTAAATTATGAGTTTGATTCTTAATAATCTCCTTTTCTATTCATAAAAAATAAATAAGCAATTGAAATTAAGAAACTAAAGTATGGGAGTACTTGTGGGGAATATGGATAGAGTAAGAGGAATGTTGAGGGTAGTTGTTTTCTGAAAATTTTAAATTGTCGTATAATTTATATCTACTTTTTATATTTTTTATTGATAATTTATTTTTATTCCCTTGAATTTTTATAAGTTCATCCTCTAACAAAAAACCACGCTTCAATGGCTCGTAGTCGTAGGGGAATGTGATTTGGGTGCACTCCCTCACACATCCAAAAGCCTGTGTGTGAAACTGTGCTAATATTAATTTTTCTTCCTTTCAAAGGAATGGTAAACATTGTAGAGTATCCAAGGCTAGTGTCAGCAACATTGAAGCATTGCTTCATTGAAGGACCACACTCCATTCTTAAATGCTTCGACTTTAATAAACTGAGACATTCAAAATTCAATGCCCCAAACAAACAACACTTACTCCATTCACTCTCTTCAATCCTCTGCCCAAAACTGGAGGAGCAAATCAATATCAACTAGTCCAAAAGGTTAGAGCTTTTGAAATTAAACAAGTTGCTTACTTCACATGGTTTCAGAATGGAACAGCAAAATGCAGAAACTGAGATTTAAATTTCAATAATTGAAGTCTTAATCTACATTTTAAATATGTGGATGGTATTGGGCATATTATCTTCTCTCTTTCCATGGCCAAATAGGAAAGTGGGAAATATTCAATGAGCTTCACTCGTCTTTTACTCCTTAAAACTGTCAATGGAACTCTCCTTCCCTTACCATCAAAACACCTTAACTCTCCTCCACAACCCTTTCTTCTCACTTCCCTTTTCAGGCAGTCTTCTTGAAATAGGATGAATATGAATCATATTGAAATGATCTTTACAATTGTTTGAATCTCAGGGAAGAGACTACCAAAGAGAACCATTTTTTTTGCAATGTCAAGGCACAATGTCATGTTCTGATGATAATAACTCAAAGCCTGCAATTCTTTCTGTCGAAACGGTTTTTGTCTCGGGTGAGATTTTGGAAACCACACAAATTTTTAATTATTCTCTTTACGATTGAATTTTAATTAAAAACAATGTGATTTTAGAAAACCTCTTGTTTCGAAAATTTGGGAATTCATTCACGATAAAAATACGGGTTCGAAGAGTCGCCACCAATCTTTGATTAGGGTGTGATTGGGCACCCAAAAATGTTTTGCCATTTTAAATAAAAAAAATTAATTTTAATTAAAACAACAAATTTAGGTCTGCATTACCAAAATTCGAGTTCGGGAGTCGGTTACGCGTGGGGAAGGATTAGCACCCCCACAGCGCCCTAAATCGGTACCTGTCGATTAATTAATGTCTTTGCAATGAAATTTACAAATTCGAGTTTAATTTGATTTATGATCCCCGACAAAACCCTTTTGAATTTTAAAAAATTCAAAAGCACCCAAAATAGATTGAATTAAAATTACCAGGCCTTTAGAAAGATAAAGAATATTCGATTATTTACAAATATCGAGACCAGATCTTAGATAAGTTCTAACTATCTTTTCTCGATAAATTTAAATAGACGAATATTTCTTTTTCTTCCGTTCCCAAATTTTAAAAGCGATAAATTAATTTCTTAGGTGTCACTGATGGAATATACTTTTAATTTAAAATCATCAAAAGCGGATATCTAATCAGTTAAGACAACCCACTTAAAATAATTTTAAATTAAAAAGATATTACCTTTAATTAAATTATGTAAATACATTGAGTTTATGCACGTGAGGCTAACATGCAAATCATACTAAAATGATGTCATATAAAAATTAATTAAACCAATATTTTAAAATATCATGCAATGTGACATTTCCATAAAAATTATATACACATTTTATAACTAAAAATATATACTATATACATAGTTATATTTAATGAACAAATATGACCTAAACAAAACAAACGAAAACATAATACAACAAATTATAAATTTCAGAAAATAAATATATTTATTAAAACGAGGACTAAATGATATCAAATAAAACTTTAATAACCTAATTATAAATAAAATACGAATTAAGGTAGAAATGTTAGTATTATACCATATTAAATACTAAGAACTGAAATGAAACTATTCCTATTGCAGGGGACTAAAAACAGAATAAATCCCAACACACTCATGACTAAAGTGCAACATGCAAAAATATGAAGGTCAAATATCTAAACAACAGAAAATAAACAAATCAACACTAGGACGAAAATTAAATGAACCATAAAATAAATAGACAGAATTAAAAACATGCAAACTTCGACCTAGGGACTAAAATGAAACATGCGAAAATTAACAGTTCAATGTATAAAGAACAGAAGCTCAATACAATACCACTCAGGACTAAAATTGAATACGCGTAAAATATGGAGACGAAATCAGAAACACAAAAACACCTATTTAAGGACTAAAATGTATTAAGCTGCAAATGAAAATGACTCATATGGAAAATGACCCAAGCGCAAAACATGAACCTTAAGGATTAAAATGGTAAAAACAGAAAATAAAAGATTAAAATAAAATAACAGAAATTAAAGTGTGAAAATCAGGAAAGATACAAAGATAACCGTCCGGATGTATTTTCTTTGATCTGCCGTCATCCACCGTCCGATTGTCCTGATTTTTCAATAGGTTGTTTGTGTTGGCATCGCGCAACTTTTCACCGTTCGGAATATTGATCGCAGATTCCGATCACCGGCAAGAGGCTAAAAACAGTACGGAATTATTTTCTCCGATCCGTCACCGTCCACCGTCCGATCGTCCTGATTTTTCAATATGTTGTTCGTGATGGCCTTCCGCAACTTTTGACCGTTCGGAATATTGATCAAAGATTCTGATAACCGGCAAGAGGCTAAAAACTGCCCGGATTTGTTTTCTCCGATCCGTCACCGTCCACCGTCTGATCGTCCTGATTTTTCAATATGTTGTTCGTGATGGCCTTCCGCAACTTTTGACCGTTCGGAATATTGATCAAATATTCCGATCACCGGCAAGAGGCTAAAAACCGCCCGGATTTGTTTTCTCCGATCCGTCACCGTCCACCGTCTGATCGTCCTGATTTTTCAATATGTTGTTCGTGATGGCCTTCCGCAACTTTGACCGTTCGGATATTGATCAAATATTCCGATCACCGGCAAGAGGCTAAAAACCGCCCGGATTTGTTTTCTCCGATCCGTCACCGTCCACCGTCTGATCGTCCTGATTTTTCAATATGTTGTTCGTGATGGCCTTCCGCAACTTTGACCGTTCCGAATGGTGATCCGAGATCCCGATCTCCGGCGAGAA